TAGCAGCCTTACAGCACCTAGAGCCCTACAAGAAACCTGAGAGGGACTTTTTACAGGGGCATGTAGGGACAGGACAAGGGGGAATGTCTTAAACTCGAAGAGGGGAGATTAAGATTAGATATTAGGAAAAAAATCATTACTGTGAGCATTGTGAGGCACTGGCAGAGGTTGCTCAGAGAAGCTGTGGCTGCCCCATCCCTAGCAGTGTTCAAGAACAGGTTGGACAGGGCTTTGAACAACCTGGTCTAGTGGAAGGTGTCCCTGCCTGTGGCAAATGAGTTGGGACTAGGTGATGTTTACAGTCCCTTCCAACTCAAGCCGTTCTATGATTCCGTGGAAGGATGGCTCCAGCTACAGGTCATCATTTCTCATTTTGACCAGCAAGTGCTTCCTTCAGTCTTCATAGTAAGATAAAGTTGATGGGCAAGCAGCTATGAAGAGAAAACACTTTTCTGTAGATAATTTAATCAGTACTTGGTAACTGAAGATATGTTATTAATCTTTCAGATTAAAAGATGACATAATGGAAGAACTAGCTATAGGGAATCTCTGCAATTGGTGATGACAAGTACCAATATGAAGCACTGGAGGGTAAAGCATTCAAAGTATCTGTGTCTATTATATGAGCTTGGCTACTTGCATGTTCCAGTCCAATTCTTCAGGCATTCAGTATACTCTCAAGCATTGGAGAATTTGAAGAATTGTCTGGAACCATCATCACCAGCTGACAACAGAACATTTTCCTATCCATCAACAGCCATAACATCTGGTACACTGCAAAGTACATTTTGAGTATGTGCTCCCTCTTTACTGATAAAACCAGGTTTAATTTTATTCTTGGTTTGTTGGAAAGGCTGTAGTTCAGTTTTTCGTATCAAGACACACACTTGTTTTAAAGAGAAGACCAAGTTCTTGGTTGCATAGTGAAAAGTTTATTTAAAGGGAATAAGTTCCAATATACTTTTACAAAACAGCCACAACACATCAAATATAAACAGTACAAACCAAGCTTAGAAGGAATACAAGCATGCTACAAATGTAGCCTTCATCTGTGCCCCTCAGCAAGAGGTTCAGTGCCAAATTTTGTTGAAATAGCTTCTCCTCCATTTAAAGCTCCTATCTTGGGAGGCCATGAAGAGCAAACGGTTGGTGCCGAGATCTCAATTTTGAAATCACAGGACATCAAAAAACATTCACATCACATAGGTAAGACTGACAACCATCACAGTTCACAAGGATATAGGTCTGAAAAAGGTATGATGAGCTTTGCAAGATGTTCCGCATTGAAAGATCTATGTGAGCAACTTGGAGCAGTGAGTTGAGAGCATGCTGCTTCCCTCTGAGGAGAGCAGTCACCAGAGCATCCTGAAGGTTGCCAGGAAACCATTTTCAGCTATTTATAATTTCCAAACACAGCTCCTAAACTGCGAGGTCATTATTTGGCAAAGCCTCCTTAGCCCTCAGCTTTATGGCTGGCATCCAGCTTCTTGCCCAAGGGACTTAACTCACCAGTCCAGATGGGTTTAAACCAGATAGCCTCACTAATGGCTCGCAAAATTCTTGCTCTCTCCCTGCCTGATAAAGGGTACATTTCTTGTATGATTCTTCTGAGAAGGCAACATGTAAAATCCAGAATGGAACACAGAAAAGCCAAGGGGAGTCAGACCCACTGTCCACCCAGCCTGATGTTGTGTCTTTAGCTCCAACAGCACCAGTGTTTCAGAATAAGTTGCCAGAGACTCTTTGGAGGCAAACGTGGAATAACCCCACAGAAAATTCTCCTGGCAAGACGTACTTGAACACTGCAGATTTATGTACCTTCTAAAGCTTTATTAAGTTACATCAAATTAATTTATTTAGGTAAATGACTTAGCATTTTGACTCCTGCTAAACTCCTGGCTTCTTTCAGTCTAATTAACTAGCCAGTCACGATCAGTTCTCAGTTTTTCATTCTACCCATTGAGATATTCTCAGTCATATATGTGACATTGTCACATCCAATATCTTCCCAGATATGAGGAAAGGAGAAACAGTCTTTCCCTTCACACTTGTAGAAAAAAAAAAAAAAAAACCTCACCTTTTTTGCTCTGGTCTCTTACCCAGTCTCAATATACATAAGCACACACCACTCAGTGCTGAATTCTGACACTCTTTTTAGAGAAAATAATGAATGGCCACAAGGAATGCTTTTCTGTGGCTATCTAGTGTTCCTCTGGTCCTCAGGTTTACCATCACTATATCAAAAGGAGTAGTCCTCTGGTGTTCCTTGGTGTATGACAACAGCTTATGATTTTAGAAGACAAAGATCTTATGGCACCAGGAAACTCAAACCACCATTTTATGACTCAACTTACAGCAACAAGGCAGTCTAATGAAGAGCTTAAATCTCCAGGAAGAGCCCATAGGGCTCTCCTTGCCTGATTTTAGGACGCATCTCCCTTCTACACAAATGGGAAAAAAACCCAAGGAGAAATCCCTTGGACTAATGACATCTATGGCTCTTATTTCAGACATGCTCCTTGCTCCTAAGGCACCTTGTGATAAATCCTCTGTACAGTGGCTTTAGTAGGGATAATGAAACAAGAAGGAAGAGTATAAGCAGTGGGGTAAAAGTGAACTTATTTAGGGATTAATTCCATACCCTAATTCCCCACATGAATCAGTAAGTCTTTCAGCAACTAGGCATTTAACAAGGTTCATCTCTAACCCACCTCACCAGGTCCAGCACCACAATAACTGACCCACTGCAGGCCACAGCTGAAGGTTACAAGCACACATGGTTACAAGGAAATGAGTGCATACGGTAGAGCAAAAATGAAAAGTATGTTGCTGTCTTTACACTCAGTTGCATAGAAACTTCACTTTCTTCTTAGCTCCTGAAGTCAGACAACTAAGCTCTCTCTTTTACGCATTTTCACCTTACCTGTTCATGTAAGTGGCTCATTACCAATAATCAATCTGACACCAATATCCTTTCACAAGAGTCTATGTTACAGGCCTCCAAAGAGTTTGTGAGTAAATTAAATCAGTACAAGTGGCCCCTGATTTAAGCGATTTTTCACTCTCCTCAGTAAAACACATCCCTTTTAAACTCCTGCTGCTACATTACACCTAAAGAAAAAAAAAAACACACCAAAAAAACAAACCCCAAAAAACCCAAACATCACACAAAACCAACAACGACGGAGATCTTATGACCCCTGGCATAAAAAAATGCCCAACAGATTGTACCCATTGTTATAAATGAACTATTATACAATCTAATTTTTATGCAAGTCCTGCACTACATGACTGGCATATCTCTGGCTGAACACGTAGACCTTATTTCTAGATCTAAATTATACTCAAAAGAAACTCAAAAATGGAAAACAATTTTGTGTTTTCACAAAAGCAAACCCAAAATGCAAAGAAGCTTCTTCCTTGATTTAACTTTTTTGATTTCTCAACAATACACAGGGAGAAGAAACACATTTAAAAAACCTATCTGACATCTTCTTTCCATGGAAACAAGGAAGGAATTTTCCCTTCTCAAGGATTAATTTCCCTCTCTGAATTGCAACTCCCTTTTTAATTAATTTTTCTTTCTAGACCCAAAGTCTAGTTCCAAAAGTCTGTGAATAGAAGGGTTTCCATCACTGCCTCAGCCAGATAGCAGGGTTGGATACAAATCCAGGAGATCCACCAAGCAAAAAAAGAAGGCATGAAAAGTAAGGTTACTTGTCTGAACCAACAATGGATTTGATTTTTAATGGGAATGGCTGCTATTAATCACTAGCCACACAGACAAACTATTGGATTTATCAGAAATTAATGAAGACTATAGACCCTTCCAAAGAAAAGTTGTCACTTGCGTAATGAATACTATCTGAATACCTGAGAAACAACATACTCATGTAATGCAGAAATTAAAAAAGCACAAGCAAAAAGAGGAATTATTCTGTACAACTGTGAAGCTTCTGTTTCCTGCAGATGAAATACTCTGTGCCTAAAACTATCTTATGTTCATAAGAGATAGCAGATACTTATAGGAAACTTAAGTTTCTGGTGTGAGTAACACACCAAATGCTTTTGGTTCCACCTCAGCAGGCCTGTCTATGGGCACTCTGCATTTGCAGTCCAGGCACATGCTGGTTGGGATGACAAACCATACTGAATGCTTAAGTGGTCTTAAGTCAGTGAAACAAGGAGATGGGCACAGTTCTTAACAAGTGACCTGAGCTGCCTTATAGGTTGGTCCACACTTCAGAAAGCTAGAACTGAGCAATAGGCCTGCCATCTGCAGTGCAACTCATCTAAACTAAAAACACTAATGGCTTGAAAACTAGCACATACTGTTTATGTACGAGTGAGGGATCAAAATTGGTTGTGAGGCAGGCCATACTTCTTACAACATGACAAAATGTACTGCAAACCTTAATGTGAGCAACACACGGACAGGAGGGGGAAGTAGCTGCAAGTTAGCAACAGGAATGCCTTGCTGTAAGGGAAACAGTTTTTTAGTGGAGATAACCCACTAGCCTGCACTAGCCTGCACCCACTGTGCAACTGAGTATCAATAATTGACTTCATTGTAAATAAATCCTAATTATAAAGTGGAGTAGGTGCCAGACAGTGCATCATACACTAACCCGCAGCGCACACAGGGTTCTGTGGAACTCCCAGCAAAGGACCAAAGGCAGTCGTTGAGTGGGGCAGTACTGACAGTGTGGTCAGACAGAAGGGTCTTTCCTATCCTATTCTGCTTAATGTCTAGGAACTTGATAGACAAGGACTATAAAAAAAAAAAAGACAGCACCTTACCCACATTGTTCAGGCCTGATCCAAGTGCTGTACAAAGGCCACAGGATGGTCCTTAATGTCCCCTAGGAGAGGCTAAAGGCAGGAATAGTCCTCCCCAAGCTGCTGAATGAAAGAGCTTCTTACTCTGGCAGATATCAAGCTCTGTATACTGATACTGTTGTGCCTCCCTGCAAGGTTGCTTTGCAGTCCCCCTTCAAGGTGTGCTTGCTTTTTCAGAGCCCAAAGCAGCAACAGCTCTGCTCTTTACACTGACCAACTCTGCTCCCTGTCTGCTCACCCAGAAAACCACTGTGCTGCAATCAGTGTTCTTTGCATTTCCACTCCTCCTGCTCCCAGCTTGGGCTGCTCTATTGTAGACTGACTAATCTCTCTCTTACCATTTTGACCTACTAAATTGCTCCATGGTAGAGAATAAGTAAACAGAGATAGTTAAAATAAGAGCTTGAATATTGAGCAAATTGCACAGCATTACAATATATCCTTAATAATAAATATGCACTCCTCTTACAAGAGTGAAGACTTTGGCTTTAACTACCCAAAATCAGTTTGTCCATCATTCCTCTCAATAGAAGGAACAAGTAAGGGTGCTTTACCTGGAGGATTTAAAACTCAGAATTCTACTGGAATTACCATGCAAACAGCTATTTTGTGTCTCTGCAGAGGTATAAAAAAATGTAAATACAGCAGTATTCTTAGAAAAGAGAAAGATTTCAATTTAAAAGTATTAAAATAAACAAGTTACAGATAAACATGATTCAAAATTCATCTCTGAAGGATTAACTTAATCCTTGTTCAACTCTGCCAGTATTTGAGCAGAAGGTGATCACCAATGCCACCATTAGCCACAAAAACATGCCAAGGAACTCCACCCTTTACCACATAATCAGGGTTAGCAATGGCCTTGCTGATTCTTGTACACAGAAAGGATTGTTTAAATCCCATATCTTTCAAGTTTCTGAGCAGAGATGTTCTTCTCTAACAATACCTTTGCAACAGCAATAGTAGCAGACAAGCTACACTTCTCTGGGGAGCCTTTTTTCCTTGCTACATACAGTATTATCCAGCTGGCAGCAATACCAGTGAACCAACACGCTGCTACTGTGAAATACTTCCTATTTTTTGGCTGCACTCCAACCTTCTCATATTTACTCAGCACAGCAGTAATTTCTTCTTCGCATCTGGATTATAGAAAAGCTTTTGGCAGTCACCGAAGTTTTAATCATCTGCATACCCCTACAATCAACAGGTGTAACATCCAATTTTTAATCTGTAGGGAAACCTTCTTATGGACTTGTAGGTGTGCATCCTCTCTCCCACCCCTGCTCGAACACGTGCTGTGACTGCTGTTCGGGGCTGCCTGTTGTAGCACGGCCAAGCCACTGCAGCAGAGGCTTCCGCTAGCCAGCTGCGCCCCCACCCGCACGAGTGGAGGAAGCACTAGGTGCTGGTGACATGTAGTGGTGGTAGGTGATGACATCTAGGTGGCTAGGTGACAAGCCAGCTGTGCTTTGGCTCACTGCAACTGACAGCTACCCTCTAATGACGCAGATACAGCAGGAAAGTTGGAAAAGTTAGTCACAAAATAGTAACGGATCAAAAATATTTTCACTTCATTTTGTACCAGCGCAACAGATTGAAACCATGACCACCTGAACTTGGCCTCTGGGCATTTACCAGCTACGACATGAAGGCCCAGCCTGATGCCTGCACAGAGCAGATCTCCCAAAGTTTTACAGAAAAAGCAGCTGCCTGTAGACAACCAGGCAGACACAGCTACCTTTCACCACTGGGACAGAAGGGAAGGAGGGTGTGGGGAGAAACCATTTAGTGTCCGAAGAAGAGCCAGCAGAATTGTGCCTTGGTTCCATCACGCAGCAGTGCCCATCAGGCAGTACCAGGGTTGGGTGGCAGCCTTCTACATTCACCATTACCTGCCTGCCGTCCCTGCCCTTCCCTTTAGTTCAGCTAGTGTAATAGACATGAAAGAACAAAGTCTTATTGCGGAGGAGAGAGTATGAGTTGTCAAATTTCAGCAGGTAGATGCCCTCGCCTGGGTACTCATGGCTGCCTGCCTGCACCTCCCGATGGCTGTTCCTCCGGTATACTGGCATGATCTCTCCGTAGCGGTTCCGCAGATAGCTTTTGGAGCCTCTTTCCACATCACCAACAGGGGCGAGTCCTAAATGGGAGAGAGGAGATAAGTAAGTAGAATGGGAGATAGAAGACAAGTAAGCAAGCCAGAGCCAGCTAAGCTACTAGGTTGTCCAGAAAAAGATCAAGACAAGAATTCACCAGAGGCATTCAAGTATATGGCTGGCTAACTGTGACAGCGTTACCCACAGTGTCTGCGCTGACCTTTCTGCAAGTAATACCCACAAAGTCCAGCTTTCCTTACCATGACAAAGGACATGCCAAGAACCAGTTCCCTTTGGAATATAGATGGAACAGCATCCACTTGCCTTCCAGCCTGGTCTCCTCTCCCTGGAATTATTACCTTTTAGACACCTTACTTTATATGCACAGTACTGGACCAGCGATACAGGCTTGAAGCAAAAGAAAGGCAGGAAAGCTCTTAGCTATAACCTCACTGTGTTTATGTCTTCAGTCACTTTTCCAAGAGGATTCCTCATACAGAAACTTAGCCCTTATTGGAAAACCTGCAAAATTAATTTCAGACACCCAGCTACTCTGTTCACACATACACTGAAGCCACAGAGCAGGCAACATCACTGTGTGTTTCACAAGTACAAAGACACAGACAGCAATCCTCTAAAATACAGTCAGCAGGAGCTAATGATGTAATGGGGGGGGGGGGGAACAACCCACAACAAAAAACCCAACCAAACAAAAAGAACAACAAAACAACCACCAACAAAACCCTAAAACACCCCAATAACAAAACAACCAACCAAAAAGCCCAGAAACAAAACCTTTTTGCCTCTACTCACCGCCAGAAATTTCTCAGCCTGAGAGGTTAAGAAAACTGGCCAAGTTAAAATTTGAGACCTTGATCTTTTTATCAGCTACAAGTTGAACAAGTGAATTCTGATCTTATTTTTCAATGTGTTCAATTTTAAGAATGCTCTTGGGAAAGAACAGCCACTGACATACACTGAAACAGGAAGGGCTAAGTGCTTTCTCATCATAGCCTAACCAAGAACACAAAAGGCTGCAGAGATAACAAATGGGCTAAGTAAACAAAGTAGATGGAAATTACAACATCTGACAGTCTCAGCAGCATATCAACAAGCACCACAAATTAACCCTTATAAGCTCTGCACTAACCTTCATTTTCCTCCTCCTCCTCTTCATCTTCCTCATCACTGGATTCGCTGACCTGAACGGTAATGGCAGTGCTAGTAACTGTGGTCCAGTCAAAGTAGACTCCAAAACCAATGTCGTAGTCATCTGTAGCAAACTCCCAGCAAATGCATTTCCCATGAGGATGGGTTGGCACACGGACTGTCACCACCTCGCCTCGCTTTACCACCATCCGGCCATTCTTTTCTCTTCCCACCTTGGCTTTGAATTCCTTTGTCTTCTCAGTGGTCCACATGGTGGGTGGAGCCAGAGGGGGAGGCTGAGCTGAGACAAGGGAAAAGACTGTGGGCTCGCCTGACTTTTCACTACTGACAAACTGTTACCTGAAAACACTGAAGCTATTTCCAATAAGGCTTTTGCACTCTAGACCCTGCCCCCAGAAACCCTGGACATGAAGCTTTCCTACTCGCTATCCAAGAGCCCAAATTTCCAGCAGGAATTAGCAGTGTCTCAAGGATAGCCTCTGCTCGTCTCTAGGCAGGACAGGCACTTAAAAAGTCCTTTCAGGACTCACCTTTCTTCTGTCCACCAAGGAGACCTGCAGTCTCCAGCTCAGCTGAAAGGATATCCACAGCACCAGTGTGATCTGACTGAATCATGACTATATCTCCTGCTCCTTGAGGTACATGGTAGTTGGTCATTCGAACAACAGCTTCCTGCACAAAGCACATAAGAAACACAGTCACAAACACCATCATGGTAAGAAAGTCTCTAGCTGTATTTAAAACAGCATATTAGTAATTTAGGCATCTTTCTGAAGCCAAGTCAGACCCTGCAGAAACTTCTATTAGTTAAAAAGAACAATCTAGCTCCAAGACACCTCTCTGCCTTTTTTCCCCCCCACAGCATCAAAGCCATGAACTTTGAAGTCAAACGCTGTGTTAGTCTCACAAATCACACACCCCTAGGCCTCCCTGTGAGTCCCTGGGCAGGCACATCTTTGCATCTGCCTCAGAGTTAATTGTTACCTCTCAACAAAGCAGCAGCTTTGCAGATTACGACACTTGGAAAAATTTCCTAAGACACAGTTTTTCCAGGGAAAGCCTTTCAGCTCTATGTGCATCCATACTACAGCTACAATCAAGCTGTCCTTTGCTGCATACTAGTGAAAAGTGAATCTGGTTGACTAGGACCAGCTCTCTTTCCTCATATATGCAAACTCACAGCTCCTGAGCTGGGTGCTACTTGTGTGGGTTTTCCCAACTGTATCTGTAACACAAACAAATTGGCTGCTCACTAAATGAAACAAAAGGCAGCAGTCACTTTCAGCTCCTTCTTCCAGGAATCTGCAAGAAGGGAATTCCCAGAAGCCCCAAATGAGAGGCAAAAAGTGAGAATCACCTTGAAGCCTTAGCAAGCCAAAACTGCAAGGAAGTGAGGACTAGCCAAAGACAGAAGAAGGATTTTGCAAATCAGACTGAATCTGTGTTATAATACTACTTTTGTCTTAACACAACCTTTGAAGCCTCAATCCCATAGCCATAAGACAGCAGTAGGGTGGAAGAGCTATTGCTGCAACTCTGTCCTTGCTTTCAGACATAAGAAACACACACCTACCTTTTTCAGGGACTGGATTTCATCAGGCAGTTTTTCTTCTAGTTCAGACACTTCCCTGTCCTCCAAAGTGCCAGCTCCTTCCTTGGAATCCTCTGTCGTGCCTGCCTCCACGAGCGACCCAGCCTGTGACCTTTCAGATGAAGAGCACTACAATTCAGCACTTGCACCTAGGACACAGCCAGCAGAGGAATCACTCTGCCGTAGAACTCAAATTTAAATAGACTAAGGGAACAAGCTTCTGGAGTGAGCACCTGCCATCTGCACACAGAACCCTTTGTATCCAAGTTCTGCCCTCATCTCTAGGTGGCTATCTTCCATGCGAGCCAGAGGGAGCAACTTCAGGGAGATACTTTGTATTTACCATCCTTTAGACAGCAGTAATTCCCTGCACTCACCACACAGCACGCCAGCTCACCAACACTGTACCAAGTACAGAAAACAGTAGCAACTTTCTGGTCAAGAAGAGACAACTTTGTTTATGCTAGCTACTGCATGACATCTGCATACCCTATCAGAGGTCAACTGGATCAGTGAAGATGCAGAACAGTTTTGACAGCCATCCTGAAAACACGTTCCATTTTAGTGGCCCATTATGTCTTTCCTATTACCAGTCTCCAGGGATACAGGGAACACCCAGGTGTCTCTCTGTCATATTCGAATATGCTGTGCAGACAAGCAAGCCATGAGACATAGAGCAGCAGCACAGTAATAGCAAAGAGGTCCAAGTACTGCACTGTGACACGAAGAAATGGGCATGTTAAAACAAAAAGAAAGGTATGTAGCAGGAAGAGAATGAGCAAGAAAGCAAACATTTTTGAAATTCATTCTCTGATGAGGGTTTTCTTCTAAATTACATTAAAGAATGATGCATATTGTCTGGAGTTATCCCAGCTGAACTCAGATGGAAGCCAGAAGAGTCTCTTCTAACATACTCTCAGTGTGAAACTTCCATGAGAAGCAACCTAGTCTTTAGTCAGAATAGAAACAGTTGTCCTTTCAAAGAGCAAAGCCTTCTCACAGCACTATAAAGCCAATGTCAAATGCACTGGACTAAAGTATCAGAAACATGAGAACACTACTAAGAGAAAATACGTGCATTTCCTCAAATGTCTGCTTTCAGAAATGAGAAATTCTCATTAGCAAGGGATTAGGCTCTTGGTATAGTGTGGAATAGTTAAAAAAACAAAAACAAAAACAAACAACACAAAAAAAACAGAAAAACCCCATACACAGCTCAACTCAGATATGTTCTTTCCTGCGTCCTTAGAGAAGGCTAGTACAGGCCAAATGTGGCTTTTGTTTCCAAATCTTTCCTCGTATGGGGATAGAGATTTTATCCAGAAATAAAGCCATTTCTTACTTAAATTCTCTGAACAGTATGATAAACTTTCCTGGGAATGGCATGATAGACCAGAAGGTCTGCAAGAACAATTCAAATGAGCTGAATACCATGATACACAAAATGGCAGCAGATGAACAATATAAGAAGGGACACTTGTAAGGGCCAATTTTTTAAAGGAAGAACTCTCACAGTGATCTCTAACAATTTCTCTCCGAGTCCAGGAAAAATTTTGACTGCTCGGAAGGCTCTCCATCAACACAGGAGTAACAGATTGGGAATTTTTTCTTCCAGACACCACTGAAGCCCAAGACATTCATTGAAACATTAGCAAGAGCTACACAAGTTTTATAAGCAGTTTACAAAGACAGGGTTCAGCTGATTCCTTTTCAAACAACTCACACTTCTGGACAACCCTCATTCTTTTCAATGGGGATTAAGTTAGACAAATTTATCAGGTACATCTAAAAGTATCCAGTATCTACTGTGGCCACGTCACTCACAGTCTATATTAATCTCTTTGAAGAACACTCAAGGACATAATAAAGAGATGGAAAAAAAACATTTGGAGTCAAGAAGGCTCATGCAGATACCATTAACATCAAACCGACATGGCATCAAACTGCTATTTTAGCAAGAAGGGTGGTTTGATGGTGGTGGTGGGGGTTGTTCTGGATTTTTGCCCTCCCCTTTTTTTCAGTGTGGTTGTGGTTTATCTACTGTGTGATTCAATTAAATCATTTCTGAAATTGTATCCTGTGCAACAAATGTATGATGGCAAATGAAACTCCACTGCATATAGTATTAGTGCTTGTAACCAGTGCAATTGCTCAGTCACAAACACAAGCCAAACACATAGCAACAAGCCAAACATCTGATAACAGGGTTGATCAGCTGCATTAATGAAGGTGTGACACAGAAAATAGAGTGAAGAAAAAAAACCCAAAACATTGACAAGAAAACAGTAAAAGGTGTTTTCTTGCTGAGCTCCCACCAGAATTACAGACAGTGAGAATGCCTAATTATTAAGGAATCCTTCAAAGTAGAGAAAATTTCCTGCTGAAAGTTTATTAGCTTTTAAAATGGACTACAAAAGCTTGCAGGGCTCCTTCTAAGCTGAATGATTCTGTGATTTGAACAGCTGAGCCATTTATTAAACATCATTTCATAAGTTTTAAAACAACCTTAAGCCTGTCAGAACAGCCTCTCCTATACTGATTCTGGTGTACGCTGTCCCAAAGCAGACAATTCAGTCTCCAGTCCCTTCTCTTCACCTACACAGAATCAATGGCCACATGGAGGAGGTCACAGGGGTGAAGCAGACTGCCATGCATGTGGGCCACAATACACAAGAAGATCTTCCTACCTGCTCTGCAAAGTACTGGACTCCACAGAATCAATCAGCTGATCTGCAGGCTCTGTCTTTTGGGCTAAGTCTTCATTTTCTAACAACAAACAATATACGGAGAGAAGGTGAAACAAATTTTGGTCTCAAGAATACACAGATAGGATGAAAAAAATCACAGCCAGCAGTCAAATGTTGACAAGGTCACATGGCTGTGGAATGAAGAGCTGTGCCAACCAGTTTTTCATGTTGAGCTATATCTATCATCTTGTAGAACAAAGATTTTTAATTGCCTCAACCCCAAGAAAGGAAGAACAAAAAAACATGCATATTTTTCATGCAGAACCACTCTCGGAAGCAGGGTTTGCTCAGGAACCTCCAATCCTCGCTTTGGAAGGACAGAACAAGGCCAAATTTCATCATGTAAAACCGTGCTGATAAGACCCTGGAAAAAAATCATGCCGTGGTTCCCACAGGGCACTGACGGGATGGAAATTCCTCGGTCACTGCTAAAAGGACTGTCTATAAAGATGACTTTAGGTCTCCCCTGAGTCTCCTGATCTCTGAGAAAGCTCTGTCCCCATGCAACTGCGGTACACGCTCCACTGCCCCGCTGTATGGTCGCATTAAGGCAGCGAACTGGGCACGGACAAGTTCCAGCTTTTGCAGCTCTTACAGCCGCTGGCCTTTTGGAAGAGTCAGTCTGGAGCTGGGAGGCACCTCCAGCACACAGCACCAAGCCCCCAGCAGAGATCATCCGGCTTCCGGCTAGATGGGGCCTCTTTCACAAGGGAAAGCATCGTGTCCCTAATAAACCTCCATCAGCGCTCGCTCATTCCACTGCCGGGAAGAAACACCGGGAACTGCTGCTGTAGTTTCGGGAGCTGGAGCAGCAGGTGAGCTCAGCATCCCCTTTACAGCGGGGCCGGGGTCCCCGCAAACGTGGGTACCAGCGGCAGAAGGCACCACAGCACCCAACTCACCCGGTACAGCAAATGCTAGCCAAGGACTAACTCCCGATGCTGCTCTTCGCCAGAGGCACCTTGTTTTCACGGGAGCAAACTGCCACAGTGGAAATACGGCTTCTCCGGCAGAAAGGAGGAAACCCATCACGGAAACTCACGGCGTTCTCCTCGGCTAAAATACGTGTCCCCGGGCCCGCAGCCCCGCAGGCACTGCCCGGCGCCCCCTCGGGCGGCTCAGCCCAGCCCACCCCGCCGCCGGAGAGGGGGATGCTCCTCCCCAGGGACCCCAGCCGGGCTGCAAGCGCTCGACCCAGCCAGGGCAGCGCGCAAGCGGGAAGCCGCTCCCCCCTGCGGCCAGCCCGGCTGCTCCCTCCACTACCGAGCCCGTACCTGAGGGGCCCTGCGCCGCGGGTCCACCCGGCGCCCCGGCAGCCAGGGCCTCGAAGCGGGAGCCGGCGGCGGCAGCCAGCACGTCCGACATGGGCAGGGCCGACCGGGCCGCCGGCGCGTGCGGGGCCGAAGGCGACGGCCAGCCGAGGCGGAAAGAGCCGAGTGGAGCCGAAGCTCTGCCACCGACGGCGGAAACACCCGAGCAGGAGAAGCCGACAGAAGCCGAGTGGGCGCACGTGAGCCTGACAGTAGGTGGTGCCTCGATGCTCGCTCCTCAGGCTCCCCCCTCAACAACGCAACCAATCAAAACCTAGTTCCGCAGAGCCGGCGGGACGGAGGGGGGTCGCCTACAGGAAGTCGCGGTTGCCATGGAAACAGGGCCCCGGAAAGACGCTTTACCGTGGCGGCCTGCGGACGGCGCTGGTGGAACAGAGACTGGGGACGGCGGGGCCGGAGCCCGCATGCCCTTTCCTGGCCTGGAGCGCCGAGGAGGTGGCCCAGTGGGTGCTGCAGCTCGGCTTCCCCCAGTACGAGGTGCGGGGTCTGGCGCGGGGGGGAAGCTCCCGCCTGAACCGGTGGCCCTGAGCTCTGTGTGTACGTGAGCCTGTGTGAGCACTGACGGAGGGCCGGCAGTGGCCGAGGGCGACCCGGGCCCACCCGCCTTCCCCTCCGCTTTCTTGCTCAGGAGTGCTTCAGGGCCAACGGCAACATCGGCTGCCGACTCATCCTCGTGAACTGCTCCAACCTCCCGGCCATAGGTGTCAAGGACTTCAGCCACATGCGGGTGTGGGCGGCACGGGTCCCGGAGACCCCTCCTCAGCCCCTCGGAGCCCAGCTCTGACCCTTTATGCTTGCAAGCCAGCTAGGCCACAGCCTGTCCACCGGGGCAGATGGCTTATTCAGAGAGGGAGCCTGAAACTGGACAACCAAATTCGTTCACCCAAACACTTGTACCCCTTGAGTCTTTTAAGATATAAATCCTTAGCTGGATGGAGATTGCAGGCTTCCTCTCTGGGACACCTAAAGTGTATCAGAAGTGCTTGGCCTTTCATTAAGCCTATGTTGCTCCTCTTGCATCATGAAGTTGCATAGTCAGATGCATATGCCTTGCTTGGATATCCCTCAAAATTAACTTTTTTTTTCAGTATTTTTCCACTTACTCGTAGAACTTTTAAAAATCTAGTCAGATTTAACCTGCAGCAATTGAGCCACCAATCACAAGCAGCAGAAGGGCAACATGTTATTACTTCCTTGTTTTACACTTTGCTGAACACAAACAGCATTTGTCTCTTTCTTGTTTTATAAATATGTAATTGTCATTTTCCTTTCAAACCTACATCTTTCATTTAACAAACACTCATAGTTAAGCTAACTGGTACGCTGAAGTTTAGGGCTACAGCTTCCTGAAAGTTCAGAAAATAAGAAAGTTGACTTAAATGTCGCTACCCTCCCTCCCATCCCTACTGGAAACCACAGAGGGACTCAGGCCTGCATTTACAGACCCAAAGCCTTTTTTTCACATCATAATTTAAAGTTGCTTTCCCCAACACAAGAGGACACAAGGTAAAAGTTCAAATAACCATGAAGAGAGAAAAATCTTTATGCTTCAATGACTATAGTTTGAACACTGTTAGTTTTATTCTAGAGCACCAAAAAGCTATTTCCCCATGGTTCTGCCTGGCTGCACAATCAACTGTTTGAAATGAAACATGCCACCAAAGACCTTTCCTAGTGACATGACTTTGCTGGTTAGTGCAGAAGGCATCAAATTATAATCCTTTTTTTTTTTCAGACAGGAGCCCTTTGAGAGCATTTCTCAAGTACAAGCAGAGACAGCCTTTTTTAGTCATTTGTACTTACCAAAGATAGCAATAATTTTATAGGCTTTGAAAGCCTCAGCCTCAATTTGGGATACAGGGATTATGCAGGGTGGTAATTTGACTGCTGAGAAACATTAAGATATGGGTTAGGGATATCAGCTGTAACCCATTCTTCCTCCTGTAGAAACTGTAATTCCACAGGGCTAGAATACTGCAGCAAGCTTTGGGAATGGGACTCTCTGTAATGTTTTCCAAAGCTTGCAAGTGAATTGCGAACATCTTACAGACTTCAGTGGAACTTGGATGTTCTTGAAGATCATGCCCTGTCCTGACAGTTCTTTGTGTTTTAGAGAACTTTGATAGAATCCAAGTGTGCAGAGCTTTGAGTAGGTTGTGGCCCTGTGGGTCTTTCCGGAAGTGTGTACTGGAGCAGGTGCAAAGTTAAGGCCATAACCCTGAGCACATAAACCAACAAGAAATATCAAAGAAAGTCTATAACCAGTTGAAACCAAGATAGTCACTATAGAAATGAATGTGATAGCATCAGCTCAGTGAGATAGAAAATTTTTGCAATTAGGGGAAATGGCTGTTTGGTAGAGAGCTGCACAGTGAATTATGTGGAGGCTGTGCAGCATGGACAAGTGAAGTTACTGCTGGTTTTAATTCCACTCTACTGATATTTTAAATATTGAGACCACTGAATATACTGATCTGGTATTCTATTGGTGTCACACAACGTAGGGTACTGCTCTTCAGAGTCACACCAATGCTGGGAAAAAGTTTTGAGCAAAAGCTGTGAAAGATCAGTAAAAACTTGTGAATTGTATTTCAAGGCTTCGGTTGAAGGTTACATTCACAGAAGTGACTTCAAAAATGACAGCAGGGTTCTGTTCACTGACAGTTCTAGGTGCAGCTGTCTCAGGCAGCTCAGTCACCCATCATTTTCTTACTGAGCAGTATGGCTTATTGGCTTAATTAGTTTTTACAGCTCTTTTGCGTAAACTCTGTTGACAGTGTAACTTAGCAAACAGCAGTGGTTTTGTGTTACACAGAATAGATTCCAGCTCATTCACCCATAACTTGTTTGTTCTGCAAGTGCAAAGAGGAAAGCAGAGATATATGTGCCATGAAGAGACCAGCTGCAATGCCATTCCCCACAGTAAATCTGGAGAAATCTGCTTTGCTTTACAATATCACACAGGGCTTATGGGTTCAGATCCCTCTTGAGTTGCAACCTTAAGTGTGAAATTGTTCCAAAAATCAGAAATTTCATTTTTTTTTGTTGCTGCTCTGATACAGAATGAATGGTATTAGCTGTTCTTCAGTGAAATGAGGATTCCTGGTATTTTGTCTTGTATTTCAGGAGATTTCATGACATGTACGAGAGCTGCTAGGGACTGAGGAGCCTGCCTTCAGCAGATCCATTGCCCTCCCATACAGAGACAACATGGGTCTCTTTCTGGAGCAAAAGTCCTCATCAGGAAACCAAGCAGATGCCCTCACTTTCTCACAGTTTATCAAAGAAGCAGGACTAGAGCCCTATACTACAGTTCCTCCTTTGCAACAAGCCCAGACTGGGGTAGAAACAGATGTCCTCCCTGCATCACAGGGCACCCAGAGGCAGGATTAGAGACTCACACTGCACTTGCACCCTTGTAAGAAGCCCAGCAGAATACAGCATAATTATCTGGAATTTTGTCCAAGGAAGTACAGCTCTACCTTCTCCTGATTGTAGAAAAGGCAATTGCAGCTCTTAGCATTTTGATGACAGCAAGCACATCCCTACATTAGCTCTTTTCTGCAATCTTTTGTGAAGCAGAATCTGTAAACCGGACTGTACCACTGTCTGTCTTTCAATTCTGCTTCAGAGTTGATTTAAAAGACCAAAAAAAAATCATAGACGTATTTTAGTTACCAGTGATGGATAGCAACTTCCTGGCAGCTCCCAGGCTTTAGCGTCTGCCGACAGGGCTCACTTTAAAGCCCAGATGTAAGACAAATAGCACACACAATAACTGGTATACAGGTGTGGTGACAGCTGCTGTCAGCGACTGTAATTAAGTGAGGGGCCTAGTTACAACATAAGTAACTAATCCCTGGCCTCACTGCAGAAATTATTTCCTGTGAGGCAAAACCAGTCAGTGGTTTATCATAGCAAACTGTACTGAAACACATGATAGATGATGGCAAGTATAAGAGAATACTGTAAGCTGAACTAGCAGATTTAGGGAATAAAAAATGCTTTGTCCTGGGTGGATTTGTACAGAATATCCAGTTACCTTTTTTTTTTCTTGAAGGAAATATTCAGTCTGTGGTGGTGGAGCACATTATCACCAACAAGGAAGTATGAGTAAGTGCTGATGAAAGCCTGTCTCAACAGAAAGACTACATCATTATTATTGTCTGGCATCAATGGCTGCCTCAAGATCCCCCATGGAAAAATAAATTAAAAAAAAAAAAAAAAATAGCCCCACTCCTGTTTAGTTCTTTGCACCCTTATTCTGTAGCCACTACAGAATAACTGTAATTTGGTTTTGCATTTCAGCTTTCTAGTGAAATTGCAACAGAAACCCAGTGAAACGGAAGCAGTTTGTAGGCCAAGATGGCTAGGTAATAAGCAAATTCAGACCAAAATAAGGCAAGACTCGGGCAGTTAGAGAGAAGCAAGTCTGCTGAGCAGCCTAAAGGGTGAAACTTGTAGAAGCAAATGTGTACATTGGGTATTTGGCTGGAGACATTAAGAGTGAACAGTGCTGGCTCTTGCATCGTTCCACCCTGGGAGGAGGCTGGGATGAGATCTCAGCAAAGCTTTCTGATATAGGCTTAGTTAGAGTTTATAAGGGTTTAGAATAATAGTTATTTCCTCTGGACTTTCTGAGAAAATGTTGGAAGCAGCTATGGAGAATGAAGTCCTCTCATCCAATGTCATACCAGGCTCCGCTGCAGCTGAAGGAAGAGATGTCTTAGAGCTGATAGGCCCACCTTGCTTTGTAGGCCAGTCTCTAAAGGCTGCCTGGTATAGTAGGGCAAGATGGCTCTGGACAAGCTTACTCATTTCCAGCAGTTGGCTAAAGGGAGACTCTCTCAGTCGTGCAGCTATCAGGTCAAACCAGGGAAAAGCTCTGGGAAGAGGTGGCTGTGCTTATGGGCAATAGCAGTCTGAAGCAGCGTGCTAATTAATGGTAAATAATGGTTTTATTTAGTGTCTGCCTACAAGTCTCTTTCTGGGGTCTTTGAGAAACAATCAGACTTGGATACTTGAATCTAAAGTGTTCCAGGCATTACTGTGTCATGCAGAGCAAAACTGAGCCTAATGGCTCTAGAATAGCCCTGCACAAGCAGGAATCCTTTCCCTCAAGCAGTGTTAACATCCTCAATAGTCCCGTCCATGAAGTACCATAAGTTCTTACCTGTAAGCACTGCCCTCTCTACATATTCC